TATGATTGTTGGGTTTTTCTCTGTATCTATGAAGTGCCTTGAGGCGACTTATGTTGTGATTTGGCGCTATATAAATAAAATTGAATTGAATTGAGTTATAGACACTGAACATCAAAAAATGTAAACATTTTAGTTTTAAGAAAGGCTTCTCTTACAGAGATGCTCACATTGTTTTCTTTAAAAAATAAATAAATAAATAACTGGTAGAAACCAAATACATTTCACAATTGTATTTACCATTGCTGTAGTTTCATCTACCGCCAGCTCATCTAAAAAAGAAAAGAAAAAACAAACAACAGACACACACAAAAAAACAAACAAATGTACCAGATCAGTATACACACAATGCTTGGCGTGCTAACCATATTTAAATCATAAATATTTACGTTTTTGGTTTCAGCTGACCTTTTTTCAATGATTTGATTTCTTCTCTTCCTCCTGCTCCTGCTGCATTATCGTGATCCTCCATGTCATCAGCTTCTCATCTTCACTGTAGGTCTGTGTATCAGAGACGGAAAATACAAAAGTATTTATTTTTCCCTTGTGGAATTAAGGAAACTGTACCCACAGACACTTGGACTTTCTTTACAATTTCTCTGCAGGATAGACCTACACTTAATTGTGATGGCCTGTCTCTCTTGCAATGTTAAATGCCTTTTTTTTAAATGCTCATCACAGTGTGACTTTTAAAACCACTTCTGTCTGTGGAGGGAGTGGTGTTAAGTAATCAAGAAATGTTTGGACCCCTGTAGGAATTTGTAGCACCAACTTTGTAGGTTTGATCAACCTCCATTGCTGCAGAACAGCTTTAAGTTGTTCACCCAATTCTTTTTCCTTTAAAATGCCTTTTTGTATCATTTTGAAATGTAAATTATTTTTCCATTGAGATGCAGATTAGTTCTGTTAAGGTTCTTTTCTTTGTTGGCATAAGCTTTAACCACAATACAATCACACTGCCAATGTATTCATCAGAATGTAAATATATACAGTAAGAGAAAAGAATTGTGGGTAATTCTCAGAGTAATGGAGGATTCAAGTAAAGGGCTCGTGCTGGTTGTCCACGAGAATTAATCATTCTACTTTGTTGCCCTTTGTCATAAATGCAGATGCTGAATAAAAGGGGCTGTTGCTACAAAACTGATCTGATCCCAACCCGAACCTGAGACGACATTACACAGACATCACACAAACAACCAGAAAAAGTAGTTTGTGACAAGCTCCAGCCACTGATATAAAAAGACACTACTAATAAAATGGCATATTTTATTTTACACAGCAGCTGTACCAAGGTGAGAAAACTGATAGACAGATGACTGCACAGTGAACCATGGTATAAGTAACAACCAGAATAGATTTCATTTCACTGAAAATTTATTAAGTCTGGGTGTGTAACAGTACAGCAAACATACAAACAGGTGTCAAGTTAAAGGAACCACCATGAAGTGTATCAGTAAAGTGCTGCAACAGAATGTCGAGGCAGAGCAGTTTCAGTACTAAGGATGAGACATTCTATCAATATGCAATCGATTATACATTTCTAAGCATTACTGATTATATGTTTCTAAGCATAAATGACAATCCTCTTCATGCTAAATGTTAAATGTTGTTGAGGGTAAAAAGATGATCATTCTGAAAAACTTTATACTATACTTTAAAAATGACCCCTCCCTGTAAGAGAACAAATGGACCCAAGCCAAGCACTCAGACACCTGACAACATCCATAGCACCACCAGACCCCCTCACTTTAGAAATCAAAAGTTCAGTTTTTCTTTTAATTTGTAATCCTTCTTTACAACTCAAACACACAAACACACATTGCAGAAATTTTCAATTTGTAAAATTGAAGCTAGATCAAGAAAAACTGTCACGGCGGCTTTACCCTCATATGCCCTGAGTAGATGAGTAAGTGAAATCATCAGAAATTATTTCTCTTTTAACACATAATCACAGTGTAGTGATACATATAAGGATGCTAAAAAGAAAGAAAGAAAGTTGCATCTGGTCAGAAGGAAAGAAAAAACAACCTTGCAAGAGTTGGCCAGATTTGTACCAAATCAAAATGCTGTCAGTGGATAGATGCAAAGATATCAATGGTTACACCCTCATGTATGTTGTTTCACAAGACAAAATGAAATGGCTGATTTGTTCCTCTAACTCACAACAATTTTAATCTCAACATTTTGACTTTTTCTCAAAATAGAATTTTAACTTTTCTTTTTCTTTTTTCTTTTGTTAAGAGAGACAATTTATGCCAAGTCTGCTCCTAATAAACTTGTCTGCTTTGGTGAGAGGCAAAAGACGCTTTGAATCGTTGCATGAGTTTCAAACCAGTGATGTCAAAAGCATAAGTGAAAGCATAACGGTTGCATCTCACGATTTCCAACACATCATGTGACTTAGAAGAAAGAGATGAGTTTGAGATACTAGTAACATCACTCAGAAACTGCCTAGAATGGATTGGTCATTTGTCTCCTACTACGCTGCATTAACTGTAAGATTTTGCATTAATCACATGTTAGAAATCTATGTAGTATTAAGAAAAAGAGTATTAAGAAAAAATATTATTGATCTTTTTGAGAATAAAGTAGAAGTTTTGAGATTAAAGTTTGTAACAGAACCACGGCAGACCCGATCATATTTCCATGCTTTTCAGCATAATCTTTATTGACACTCATGGTTGCTATAGCTACTTGCACGGCTGCAGCTTTTCAGTTCTGCCAAACACTCCAACAACAACAACCACAACAGTAAGAGCACAGACTTTGAGCCGGTGATGCGTGATTACGGATGCCGCTCAAGTGCGTCCGCCTTCCTTGTAGCAGCACCGCAGACAACGCCCTGCCACCCATTGCCCGACTGAGGGCGGGGAGCCATTCAGCCGAACTTGCTAAATGCGGATGCCGCTCAGGTGCGTCAACTCCCGCCACAAAATTGAAATATTATTTTGCGAAAAAAGTCAAAATGACAACAATCGTTGTTTCAAAACAAACTGCCAAGCTGGCTATACTCTCTACAAAATGCCCTGCGTAGATGAGTAAGTCAAATCATCGGAAATTATTTCTCTTTTAGCACATAAACACAGTGAGGTGAAAGACGCTAAAAAGATGGTCAGAAGGAACAACAAAATAAACTTGGAAGAATTAGCCATATTTGTACAAAATGAAAATGCTATCAGTGGATAGATGTAAAGATATCAGTGGTTACACCCTTGGACATTTTGTTTCACAAGACACGATAAAACGGCTGATCAATTTGTTTCTCTAACTCACAACAACAAATTTAATCTCCACAATATGACTTTTTTGTTAAAAATAGAATTTTTACTTTAATACCAAAATTTCGACTGTATTCTCAAAATGATCAACAATAATTTCTTTACTTAATGTGGCCCTCATACTCCGTATGGTGCTATATATTACCAGAACATTTTTTTCGTTAGTAATCTTTATAAGCAAAACTAATGATCGCTGCAGCACACATACACACTACAAAAATATTCCAAGTTAAAAATCAACTCACCTTTGCTTTTTTTCGATGTGGTTTTTATCAACGCAGCTTCCTTTTTATGAACCCTAACAGATGCTGTTTTTATAGAGAGAAACGTTATGCTGAGTCTGCTCCTAATAAACTTATCTGCTTTGGTGAGAGGCAAAAGACGCTTTGAATCGTTGCATGACTTTCAAGCCAGTGATGTCAAAAGGAAAAGTGAAAGTATAACTGGTCTGCATGTGTGGCTGGAATTTTCCATGAGGGCCCAAAGTTCTTTTCTTCTTTTTATATTGTTATTGGCAGTTGGCAAAAAAAAAACCCTCAAAAGTGCATTGCTAGTATGGAGTGAGAACTGGAACGTCGCTCAAAAAAAAAAGAAGAAGAAGAAGAGAAAACCCTCAAATCCTTCCAAGCAATTTTGCTGTTGTAAGTGATGTTTTTTATATTGTAATTTATTCTTAGAAATATATCATCATTTGTATGCTGATAAAAATCATATCCTTATTAGGTCTGAGTGCAGGTCG